CGCGCCATTCTGTTTCTGAGGACATGAGTCGATGTTGACTCATAAGTAGACACCCAATGGGACCTCGATTAACCTGGTCTTGCCATTTCCTCTTGCATTCTGGCCTCAGTTCGATCATGATTTCTGTTTTTTTTTTTTTTTTTTTTTTTTGGTTTTTTTTCGAGACAGGGTTTCTCCGTGTAGCTTTGCGCCTTTCCTGGAACTCACTTGGTAGCCCAGGCTGGCCTCGAACTCACAAAGATCCTCCTGCCTCTGCCTCCCGAGTGCTGGGATTAAAGGCGTGCGCCACCACCGCCCGGCATGATTTCTGTTTTTAAGTAGCTTTGTAGGGTCCGGGTCCAGCTTGTGGACTGCATTCTGGGCTTCCCGGAGCGGGGCTTAGGGTGGTCTCAGCCTTTGCAGGATCATTCATGCAGGGGAAGCAGAGGCAGCTCTGCCCACATGGCTGTGTGCCACTGGGGAACTGACTCCACCTCTCTGGGCTTCTTCTAGAAATGGTACCTGCCAGATGGATGCCAAATAGCAACACCAGGGACGACTCTGCCTGTCTCAGCGGCTCCAACTCCTCACAGCTTCTACCAGCTACAGCCAGGCTTCCAGGGTGAGGACTCTGCAAAGGCCTCAGACCACTCATTAGCCTCAGGCTCTCCATATTGTGCTCTTGTCTTTATTTGAAGAATAAAGACAGTAAATGAATACCTGGGCGTAGGGCCATGAGGGCAGACTGGCATGATAAAGGACATGGAATGGGGCCGCCCCTCTGGTACCCTCTCGGCCTCCGTGGAACACAGCCCAAAGGGCCCTGTTGTCACCTGCAAGTGCCTCTGCCCCCTTGGGCATGGTAGGACACGCCTCCCTATAGCTCCAGGGGACTCCCACCTCCCCATTGGTCCTCACGGGGCCATCCCCACTGTGATCACCTTCTCTATCCACCTCTGAAGATTTTTCCCAAACCAACTCCCGTTTGCATGTGGGAAAATTGAATGCCTAGAAAGCACCTGAGGCCACACCCAGATCATTCCAGACTCTGCCCTAGGTCCCAAGTTCCACTCCCAGACTGTGTCCAGGCCCTGTCTCTGCCCAGCCGGCCTCAGCGGGTTGCTGGCTTTTCCCATCTAACAGGCCTTAGACTCTAAAATCCCACTTAAAATGAGAGCAAAACCAAACCCCCAAAACATCCATGGTGATTTTAATGAGAATGTCCCCCTAGACTCACACGCATTTGAACGCTGGGTCCCCAGTTGGTAGAACTGTTTGGAAAGGATTAAGAGGTGTGGCCTTGTTGGAGGAGGTGTCATTGGGGATGGGCTTTGAGGGTCAAAAATCTACACCATTCCTGGTCAGTCCCCCCTCCCTCTCTGCCTCATGGTTATTGTCCCAGGATGCGAACTCTCAGCTAGTGCTCAGCACCTCGCCAGAGCCTGCCGCCATGTTCCCCACCCTCATGGTCATGGACTCTGACCCTTTGGAACCGTGAGTCCCACTTTAAACGCTTTCTTTTGTAACCTGCCTTGGTCACGGTGCCTCTTCACGGCAATAGAAAAGTAGCTGAGACACAAGGCGATACCAGGGGATGAACTATTGCCCGACGATGTGCGTTCACGGAGGAATGTGGACACCACTGAGACTTTGGACTCAGAAAGCGTTTGGGAGCTGGGAACCGAGCTCAGCAGATCATCCTGTCAGAACACGGACAATCACAGCGTTGAGAGCGATGTGGAAGCTCACGGCTCCAGAGGTTTCAGAGGGAAGCAACATCAGCCACTGGGTTAGAGGTCATCCTTGTGATATTTTGGCAATGAACATGTGACTGTTTTTTTTTTTTTTTTCTCTTATCCTAAGAATCTGTCTGAGGCTAAACTGAAGAGTTCTGGAGTAATTTTCTTGGCAGAGGAGGTTTTTAAGACAGCCTAGTGTTCTGACTGTGTTATGTGGTTATTAGGGGTCACTCTTAGGCAGAGCTACATACAATGAAAAGGAGCAAGCAGGGCAGACACAAATACGAAATGTGCAGTTTGATGAGAAAAAACAAAACAGTGCAGAGTGTAATATTGGAGCCACGTCCCCTGCTCAAGGTTTAAAGACAGGCCTGGTGCTAAACGGTATAAAGGGAGAGGTGACCTCAGGGCAAGACCCCGCCCAGCCAAGCTTCCAACGTGTAAACCGGTAATTCCTAAGGAATCTTAGGCTCCTAAAGCAAAGGAACATGGATTCAATAAAGGGAAGTATCAACAAATCAAAGTTTATGAAATGTAATTCCAGGAGGGGCCCAGGCTCCACCCCAAGCATGCCTCAGAACGGGGCAGCGTCAGGCACACGGTTCTGACTGTAGAGTCCTGAGAATGTAGGCGTAGAGAAGGCCTTGGGTAAAGGGCGTGTGTCAGGGCTGTTCCTGCGTGCAGGCTCAGAGGGACCATTGTCTGAAGCTGTGAAGGTGAAGCCTTGGACCCCCAAGATGCTGGAGATGCCAGAGCCGTGGGACACCTGCTGAGGAGAGCTGCTAACAGGGAGTCGGGCCAGCAGAAGAGAAAGAAGTGGGTTGTAGTCAACAAAGCATGAAGGGTGGAGACATCTAAGATCTTGGACATTTGGGGTTTGGGTCTCGGTCTCGCTTTGGTTCAGTATTTCCTCACTGTGCCCTCTTTCCTCTCTTTTGGAATGGACGTATCATCTTCTGTGCCATTGTATACAATTGTATACATTGGAAGTATGTGGTCTGCTCTTTGAATTTACAGGAGGTTATAGTTAAGAGATTGCCTTGAGTCTCAGAAGACACTTTGGACTTTTTTTTTTTGAGACAGGGTTTCTCTGTGTAGCCCTGGCTGTCCTGGAACTCACTCTGTAGACCAGGCTGGGCTCGAATTCACAGAGATCTGTCTGGCTTTGCCTCCTGAGTGCTGGACTTTTACACAATATTAAGACGGAAAGGGGAAAGGCAGTGCGGTGGTGGTGCACGCCTTTAATCCCAGCACTCGGGAGGCAGAACCAGGTGGATCTCTGTGAGTTCGAGGCCAGCCTGGGCTACAGAGGAAGATCCAGGACAGGCACCAAAGCTACACAGAGAAACCCTGTCTTGAAAAACAAAACAAAACAACAACAAAAAGACTATGGGGACTTTTGAGGTTGGAATGAATGTGTTTTGCATAAAAGTATGGCTACAAGCCTGTGGGACCAGGGAGTGGGGTGTGCTGTTTGAATGAGAATGGCCAGTCCTTTGCTGTCTCTGGGTCCAGTTACTCTCTGTAAAGGAAGGGTTTGGACTGAGACCTAGCAGAGGGGAGGAGAGAGGTGTGCCGTCAGACCGGCTGGTCCTGTACTGTGTGACCTTGGGGAAATAACTTGACCACTCTGGTTCAGGAAGTTATCTGTGAAACGGGAAGGTTAGAACTGCTGCCTTCGACACTCGAATGTCACTCGCTTGGCAATTGGGACTGGCAGGTGGTGTTCTGAGGTGTCAGGCTGTGCCGAGGTTTGCGCGTGTTCCCGTTGTGGAGTTGTGGAGGCGCTGGGTCCCACCGTTAGAGTGAGGAAGGGTGGGGCCTTTAGGGGATAATTCTGCCTGGAGTGTTCCTGCAGACTAACGCAGCCGCCACTGCTGACAGGCCGAGCTCAGCTGCCTCTCGGCTCCTGTGGCCTCACCTCCTGTTCCCACCACGGGCAGCAGGAAGCCCACCAGACACCAGCTTCCGGCCCTCTTCCCGCCTCCAGAACCCAGAGCCACATGAACTTCTCCTGCTTTTGAGTGTCCCGCTCTAGCTGTGAAGACAGACAGGTGACGACGAGAGATACGTCCAGTTGTCCAAGACTGTGAGGCTGGGTTCCCCGCCTGCCTTTGTCTTCCCTGCTTCTCCCCCCTCCTCCCCTCCCTCCCTCCATTGTTCTCTCTCCTCCCCTTCTCCTCTCCATTACCTTTCCCTGTTCTCTTCCCCTTTCCTTCCTCTCCTCTCTCCTCGTCTCTCCGTAGTTTTAGGCACCATGACTTCCGACCCCGGCAAACTTCAGCTCTGTCTCAGCTGTCCGCCGCACGCTGGCAGCCTCGGCACAACTTCCTGCCGATGGCCTTAGCATCCTCATCTGTCACCACGGGCGAGCTGTTCTTCTAGCCACCACATTCTCAGTGGAAGCACTGAATATGCGTCACACACACACACACACACACACACACACACACACACACACACACACACACACACACACCCCAGGGACTGCTATGTCATCTGGAGACCAAGGACTGGGGTCCAGCCTTGGTTGGACTCCAGCTCTGCCATCCACCAGCTGGGTGGCGTCGGGCAAGAGCCTCAACCTTTCTGTGCCCCAATTTCCTTACCAATAAACAAAGATAATACAAATACCTGTCTCTGCTGTGAGGAGGACTAAGTACAGAGTGCCTAGCACTGTGGAGATTATGCATGGAGTGCCTAGTACCCTGCCTGGTCCTTGGCTACTTAAATAATTCAGCTGCTGTTGGTGATGATGTAGCCAACAAATTAGGCACTATGTGAGGTGCTGGGGACAGACTAGCAAAGAAAGCTGCTCTGGGAGTTCCCGGTCTGAATGAGAGACACCCAGCAGGTGGGATGGCAAGGTACCGGTCAGAGCCTGCTGTGATGTGGGAACAGTCTGCTTCTAGCCTGCGGAGGCTTCCTTGGGTGAGGAATCAGCCACGAAGAAGGAGCTGGAAGTCATCTGGACACAAGAGGGGCAGGAATAGCATTCAGTGATAAGGAACAGCAGACGCGAGGGCGGGCGGGCGTGGAGTTTGAGACAGCCCCTAGAGGGGGCAGAGATAACCAGCTGCAGGTCTTCAGGGTGGTCAGCACTTACCCCTCAGCAGCCTGGTTTCAAGGTTCCATTTGCCGCTCCAACTGTGCTCCTGGCCAAGGGGCGGGTCATCCCTAGTAGGCTGCTGCCACCCGGGAGCGGAGCGCAGGCTGCCCGGCAGGCGCAGCCTCCTCTAGCGCCCCCACTCCACACAGCTGGCGCCCCCGCCCTCCGCACGCGGTTTCCTGCTCCTCCCTCCCCTCCCAGCTCCAGCTGTTTCTCTGTCTGAGTTCTGTCCCTGTCCCACACAGAACTCTGGGCAGAGTGAGGCTGTCAGGATGTTGCTGGGGGTGCTGTGCTCCGCGGGGCTCAGAGGAAATCTTGCATGAATGGATGAAATGCTTCCAAGCAAACAGACTCTAACAGCACAGCTGTGTGACCCCGAGAAAGAGGCCAGGGCGCGAGCGGCCTGAAGCCACCGGACCCCGAGGGGGAGACCCGGGAGAAGGTACTGCGCTTGGCTTGGAGTCCTGCAGGGGCCAGGAAGGGGCACACCGGCGGGGACCCGGGCTCTTCTCCTAAGGTGGTGTGTATCCAAGTTTCTAGGGTTGAATCAGACCTGAGGAGCGACGCTGGTGCTTGTGAGAACCAGCGAGGCAGTCGCAGGTCCATCCTTCCCCGAAACCAGCTTGAAGCCAACTTGTGCTACAGGCTATCTACTTCAGGGTCTCCGGGTTCTCTCCAGCGGGGACGGTTTGGTGGCTGCCGGCAAAGGTTGCCCTGGGACAGATGTAACTGCTGTCGGGTCTGCTTCTGATTTTGTTTTTATTATTGCGAGCGAGTGAGCGGCTCTGCCGTGGATGCTTTATGGAATAGTTGTGCTTTGTGTAATGGCCCTGTGGATGTATTTCCATAGGTGGAGAGGCCTCGTGTGTGTGCGTGTGTGTGTGTGTGTGTGTGTGTGTGTGTGTGCTCATTGTCCAGATGTGCATACAGAGGGAGTAGAACGTGGGGTCCTTGAGGCAAGGTCCCTTATAGACCCAGAAACTGGCCCATTTTAGGTAGCCTGGCTACCAGGGAGCTCCAGGCATCTGCTTGTCTCTGTCCCCCAGTGCTGGGGTCACAGGCCCCTGTGGCCATTGCAAGCTTCTTACACCGGTGGTGGGGATTCGAACTCAGGTCTCATGCTCACACAGCAAATGCCCTTACCCAAGGAGTCATCTCTCTATGCCTTCACTAGCTACTTTAAAAATAACAGGTTTACACTGGATGTGGTGGCACACACACTTACACCCAGCACTCAGGAGGCAGAGGCAGGCGGATCTCTGTGAGTTCAAGGCCAGCCTGGTCTACAGAGCGAGTTCCAGGATAGCCAGGGCTACATAGTGAGACACCGTCAAAAAAAAAAAAAGGTTTATTTTATTTTTAATTATGTATACAATGTGTCAGTCTCCATGTGGGCTTGTGCATAGGGATGCAGGTGCCTGGGGAGACGAGGGCCGTCAACTTCCCCTGGAGCTGGGGTCACAGATGGTTGTGAGCTGCCATGTGGGTGTGGGGAATTGAACTTGGGTTTTCTGGAAGAACAGCTGGTACTTGCAACTGCTGAGCCCCTCACTACCCACTTTAAGACGTGTGAGCTGTCTGTTGTGGCAGTTTCTGCCCGCCGACACTCCCTGTGGCATGACATGAAGCCCCCATCCCCCCATGGCTATCTGCCCTTCCCTGAGACACTTCCACTTACGCCTCTTTATTTTTTGATGCAGGGTCTCTCGTTGGAATCCTGGGCTCACTGATTAGGCTAGACTGACTGGCCAGGGAGCCCTGTGGATCCTCCTGCCTCTGCCTCCTCAGCACTGGGATTACACATATGCATCACCGTGTCTAACTATTTATGTGGGTTCTGGGTATTTGAACTCAAAGTTCTCATGCTGACAGAGCAGGCTGTCTCTCACCCACGGAGCCATCCCCCAGCCTCCGGTTTTCTAGAGTGGGTCTGTGACTCACTTGTTATCTCTCAGACTCTCTTGTGTAAATCTGTTCCCCTTCCCGCCCCCATGCCATGTTTTCCTATTGATAGCTAAAAGTTCTTTGCGTATGGAAGACAGGAGCCCTTGGGCCAAGCTCTGCCTTGAAAGCATCACATCCTTCTGCTTCCAACCTAGGTGTTTACAGCAAGGGAGCCCTCGTACAGACGCAGGAGCGTTACTTGAGAGTTTGATGTCCTGTGCATGTGGCTGAGAAAGGGCAGGTCTCGGGTCTGAGGCCACACAGTGAGGAAGTGGCGGAGGAGCTCTTGTGTTTGCTCTGTGTCTTAAGAAAGGCCCGATTCCCCTTTGCCTCCCCCTCCTTCCCCTTTCCAAGGGGATCTGCGGTTCTTGCTTCTGTCAAGAGAAAGGCGTGATCATCTCTGTGCCTCGCTGCTGTGGCCTGCAGGGTTCAGTCAGGCTGTGGAAGAGGCTGACTCAGCATTCTCCTCTGAAGGGTTTGGCTTAAACTTCTGAAATGTCAACCATGTGGAAGGTCGAGGCGTTATCTCCGAGAGCCAGGGGTGGTGACTCTGGACTCCCCCAGCTCTTTGAGGAGTAGATGAACCCCACCCTGGCCCCTTTCTAGCTCAACCCTTCTGGTGGAGAAGCCTCTGCACCCCACCCCTTCACAACTCTTCCCATACTGTCTTGTAACTATCAATCATTTTGTCTGTCTCCTAGCAACCTGGGACTCCCTAGGCCACAGCTCAGTGTTATATCCCCTGGGTCCTCCATCCCCTGCATAAGAGCTTATGTGCAAGATAGTGTCCGCTGGGTCCACTGAGAAGCTGGGCCACAGTTTTACCCTCTGCAGAATGGGCTGGGAGAATGAACTGTAGTCCTGTCTCTTAGATGTTTGATTATGAATGACGGCTTGAGATGGTTTTCTGGACTCTACCATGGCCACGTGATGAGGGTTCCAGTAATACCCCTAGTTTGCCGATTAGAAATCTGAGGTCCAAGGATTCCAAGGATAGACTGCCATAGATCCCACAACCACAGAGGTGGGTTTATGCTTCAGTTTCCACATCTGTAAAATGGGCTTCTGAATAGGAGCTACCCTGTAGGATTTTCACAGAGGTGAAATAAGACCTGAAATGCTTAGCAGACAGTGATCCTCTAGGCTCTGAATGCCGCTTCATATGTCCATGGTACTCAGCCTCTGCCTGTGTCATCCATCCATCCATCCATCTGAGCCACATAGAGGCCAATATGGTGTGTGTGTGTGTGTGTGTGTGTGTGTGTGTGTGTGTGTGTGTGAATGTATGTGGAAGCCGGGGACTGACCTCATGTGTCATTCTCTAGGAATCATCCATCTTACTCTTACTGCAACCTGGAGCGTGGTGAGTAGACTGGACCAGTGGCCACCGAGCCCCGGGACCCTCCTGTCACCGCCTCTCCAGCACTGGGATTACAAGTGCACACCTGCCACGTCTGGCTTTCACGTGGGTGCTGCTGGGCTTCAAACTCAGGTCCTTATGCTGACTTGGCAAGTGCTTTGCCTGCTGAGCCGTCTCCCGAGACTCTAACATGGGTTTCCTCACAGATTATTAATGCCCAGGTCACATTAGTGTGAAGGCAAACAAGATCTAGGTCCTCCTCCCTGAGTCTCAGATACCGGTGCCATTGTGACCATTGTGACCAACTACAAGGTTCTGGGTGGGTCCTGAGCTTGGGCTGGAATAATGGTGGATTCGTATACAATGTGTCAGTCTCCATGTGGGCTTGTGCATAGGGATGCAGGTGCCTGGGGAGATGAGGGCCGTCAACTTCCCCTGGAGCTGGGGTCACAGATGGTTGTGAGCTGCCATGTGGGTGTGGGGAATTGAACTTGGGTTTTCTGGAAGAACAG